CAGCCACTCAGTATCTTTTGATTGGACCACTTAATCCATTTATGTTTAAAGTTATTATTAATAAGTACTTGTTTGTAGCCATTTTTATTCTTTATGCCTGTGTTCCTTCTTCCCTTTCTATTTCTTCTTTTTAAAACAATCCCTTTAGTATTTCTTGCATTGCTGGCTTGGTTGTGATAAACTCCCTTAGCCTTTCTTTGTCTGCAAAGCTCCTGATTTCCCCTTCAATTTTGAATGATAGCCTTGCTGGACAGAGTATTCTTGGATTCAGTCCCTTGCTTTGCATCACTTTATATACTTCATCCCATTCCCTTCTGGCCTGATGTATTTCTGTTGAGAAATCATTTGATAATATAATGGGAGATCCTTTGTAGGTAACTCTCTGTCACTCCCTTACAGCCTTTAAGATTCTCTCTTTATCATTAATGTTTGCCACTGTAATTATGGCGTGTCTTGGTGTGGGTCTTTTTGGGTTCGTCTTGTTTGGGACTCTCTGTGCTTACGTGACTTTCTTCCCCAAATCGGGGAGGTTTTCTGTCATTATTTTTTCAAATAGGTTTTCTAATCCTTGCTCCTCCTCTTGTCCTTAAGTCACCCCTATTTTACAGATGTTGCTTCATTTTACATTGTCCCAAAGCTCCCTTAAGTTCCTCTCCTGCTTTCTAATTTTTTTCTCCAATTGCTGTTTAGATTGGGTGTGTTTTTCTGCCCTGTCTTCTAACTCACTGATTCAGTCCTCCACTTCTTCTAGTCTACTGCTGAAACCTTCCATTTTTTATCATAGCTGTATCATTCTTCATTTACTCTTGGTTCTTACATATGTTGTTGATTTTTCTCATCCAGCCAGTTTAGGAACTGTATGACCCTTACTCTGAATTCTTTTTCAGACATATTGATTTCCTTAATTTCATTTAGTTTATTTTCTGATGACTTCTCCTTTCCTTTCCTTTGTAGGTTGTTTATTTGTCTCTCCATTTTTGCTGTCTCTTTGTATTTGTTTCTATGTAATGTGAGTTGCTGTCACTTTCTGGCCCTGGGAAACCTGCTTGTGGCCTGAGAATTTGAAGCCCTTAGCGATCCAATGGTCCAGGATTCCTTAGTCCAGAGGCTAGGTCTGCCTTCAATTTCATGCCTTTGTCTCTGCTCTGAGTTGTGTTCCTTTCCCCTATGGATCTGGTTCCTCAGTTGTCCAGTGCAGGTGCTTGGGGTCAGCAGGAGCACGTACATACTTCTTCTGGTATATGACTCCAACAGGGTCCCTGAAGCACTGATTCCAGGTGTGTGGCAACAGGGTGAGCTGGGTCTGGGCGTCCAGAGTCCCTGAAACTCCAGGTCCAATGGGGTCCTAAAGTGCCCAGTCCCTGAACTGGGAGCCCTAGATGCAGGGACCAATGCACAGAGTCCAGTTGCGGTGTTGCTGGTGCTGGAAAGCTGGTGGTCCCTGAAGCTTTGGATCAGGCACGCAGGATGAAGATCAGCATGAGGTCCTGAAGCTCTGGGTCCAGTCACGCAGTGTCCACACACATGGGGTGCTGGCACAGCGACCAATCACTGGTGTGTGGGGGTCCTTGAAGCTCCAGGTCTGGGCATGCAGCCACTGGGAGTGTATGGGGTTCTGAAGTGCTGGGCCAGGCCTGCGGCTACCAGGCATGCTGGGTCCAGGCATGGAGTGTCTCTGAAGCTCTGGTTCTGTGCATGAGGAATGGACACACAGTGTTCAGGTCAGCCAGGTCCTAGTATGTGGGGTGCTGTCATATGGGTTGCTGGCACAGCGGCTGGGCGCTGGAGTGCTTGGGATCCTGAAGAGCCACATTCAGGCGCACCACTACCGGGTGCTTACAGGGTCCTGAAGAGCCAGGTCAGGCATGCAGGGGAGATGCACAATGTTGGAAGTCTCTCTGTCCTGCTGTCCCTCCTGGGAGCTGCCAGCGAGGTAGGGTGCCACTCACTGCATGGGTGGCAGACGAGCAACTCTGGTGTCAGGGGGCAGTCTGGGTGTTGATGTCACTGTGCTATTGGCCTCTAATGCTCCCCCTTCAAGATGGCATAGGCTCTGCCCCAAGCCAGCAGCAGGGGCTCCATGTCCAGGAGAGCCCTTCCCACCAGTCCCCAGACTCCTGTGAGATCTAACTGTCCCTCACTCACCCCCACACACACCACACCCATCCACACCCGCCCCTCTTTCTCCTTTACTTACTCACACGCTCTCCCTCACTGCCATCCTGCTGACCACCACGTTGGGATATCCCATAACTTAATTTTAGTTGCTTTTACAATAATCTTCGAAAAGAAATCAATTTCTCTGATGGTGCATGAGTTTTCCTCCATCCTTTCCAATAATGCATTACCCTACTCTCATTTTAAAAACAAATATAACTTCTTTATTTCCTATAACTAATTTTCCTCCAAACTCTGCTCTACTGGGCTGAAAAAATGTCAGTCTAACCCAGTGACTTATTCATGTTCTGGATGAGTCAGTCTTCCAGGCATCTCTTCTCTTTTTATTCTTCAAAATTATATGCATGTGGGTGGGAATTTAGGAATCTCTTATGGTAGGTGAATATAGAGACCTCCAATCTATGTGGTGTCCTATGGAATTTTTGCCTCTGCGGTAGAATACCAAGACTGAGCTGAAGTGTGATTATTTATGGCCCATGTAGCACAATGTACTGGTAGCTCATCTGTTAGAAATGTGATTCTGGCTACTTTTCTCATCTGGGTCTCTGCCACTGTCTGGCTCTCTCTGAGAATCTTTAGCTTTCACAAACACTTAGAAAGTTCTGCAAGCTCTGACTTTTAAGACACAAGGAGCCAGTACACTGCCATAGGCCCATGTATCTAGCTGCCTGATTTTGCCAGTACCAGTGCCACAATTACACACTGTTGGATATTTCTACATGATACCCTGAATGATTTTGCAGGGTCTCCCTGAAATTGGAAAACCTAGGATCCATATACCTGCTCTCCATCCCTTTTATTTTATTTTTACTGTGGGTCTAGGAGTGTGCCTTTCCTCCTTGTCTTTCTTTCTAGAATAGACTTCCTTTCTAAAATGACATTTGCATTGTTAGCTTCCCTAATTTAATGTAATCATTTTGTCAGTCTTTTCCAAGAAATCCTTTCATACCCAGAGTCATAAAGATAAAAATCTTATAATTTCTTCTAAATTTTATGTATGTCCATTTTTACATTAGGATTTTCAATAAGCATAGAGTTGATACATCCGTTTATTATGAAGTAAGAACTTGATTATTTTCAATAGGAAAATGGAGCTATTACAATCATTTATTGGATAGTTTGTTCTCTGTTGGCTTCTAATTCCACCTTTGTTTTACACCAAGTTTCCATAGGTGCATGGATCTGTTTCTGGTGGTCTTTTCTGTTTTATTGGTCTTTTTTCATTTATTTTTTCTGTTAATACCACAATGTTTTTACTCATTATTGCTTTACAACAAGTTTTAATATGTTAGTCTTATACCTATACCTGTTCTTTAGTTACTCTTGTCACTTTGCTCTCTTCTTGAATTTTAAATTATTTTGTCAAATCTAATGAAAATTTTTGTTGGGATTTAAAGAGAATTTTGTTGCACTTACTGATGGATAAGGAGGCTTGAATAAACATCTACTTCCAATGAGTAGTCAATTGAAAGAATATATGTATGATTTCTTTATAGGTACTTATATTAGTCTTACTTTATACATGAAGCATTAAAAATTCACTAGAATTGATATGGATATGGGGTTTTCATTGACTTAATCTGCAACAGGATGTACACTTTAAGTTTTCAAATTGAGTTACTTTTATCCAGTTATTTTATTTTACTATGTAGTTACTAAAGGCTCAGTGCACAAAATTCATACACTGGGGTGGGGGTGTTTCTCAGCCCAGCCTGTGCCCTCTCTTAGTCTGGAACCCCTCACTCCTTACCCCCCACATGCAGCAGAGGTGGGAGAGGCTTCTGCCACCGCTGCTGTGTTTGCCAGCTGTAAGCCTGGCTTCTGGCTGAGCAGCACTCCCTCTGTGGGAGCGCACTAACCACCAGGGGGCAGCTCCTACATTGAGCGTCTGCCCCCTGGTGGTCAGTGCACATCATAGCGACCAGTTGTTCTGCCATTCGGTCAATTTTCATATTAGTGTTTTATTATATAGGATTGTTTCTTTTCTATACTATTTATTTTCTCTTTCAGGAACTCCTATTGTGCTTGAGTGTAGAATTTCTCAAGTTATGGTAGACTTTCTGAAAATTTATGTTATACCTTTGTTTTTTCCTGTGGTTTCTAATTTAGTATTCCTTGCCTCAAAATGGCTTTCATTTTGACAATCATAGCTTTCTGAAAGACGGTGTTCATGAATATTCAGCTGATGGTGCTGGTCTATAGGAAAGGGAGGGCTCATGTTGAAGGAAGGACAAATTACATGGGTCATTGTCATCTGCATATCTTGCCTCTTTGAATTAGGAGTTTACTGCAAGCCCTCATGCTTTTCCAGTTGCACTAACTTTGTCTAGAAATAGGGGAATTAGAAGAATAAAGGATTACTTGTCTTCTTTCAGTGGCTTCCTTTTTCCCTTTTATCAGCACTATAGATAAGAAAAACTACTTTTTCTCTTCTGATTGGTAGTCAGTATCCACCTCTAGTGCTGCTGAATATTTTTCCAAGTTTTATATCCTTATGGTTATTTCAGTGGGAGTTTAGCATGAGGGGTAAAGTAGAAGGATAGGATCTTGTAGATCTGCTTTTTTTCTTAATATTTTTGTTCTTTATTATTTCAGTTGTTGGTATTGTTGCAATAATTTCTATTTTTTGTAGGTTTTGAAGGGAGGAGGGATAAAACCAATGTTATTACATATTCCATTATTTTCTTAGATGAGCTACATACTAAGGGTATCAACATATAGATAATTCATAGTGGCAAAATTTAGAGTATCAACTATCTTTTTTCTCTGCTGTTTTAATCACAGAGCTTTCATTTATGGTAAATATCTCTTTTTTATTTCAGGAATTGGTCTTAACTGGAATAACCTTTGGACACCGGCCAGCCTTGAGGATAACCTCATATTTGGCTATATGATGGGGATGCTTTTACTTGATGCTTTCTTGTATGGCCTTGTGACATGGTATGTAGAAGCTGTCTTTCCAGGACAATATGGTGTGTCCCAACCATGGAATTTTTTTCTTATGGTGAGTTCTAATGCTGCTGTTATTGTGAAAGGTCATAGTTCTTATTTCACAAAATAAAATCAAAAGGTCAGGTGCAGAAAATCATTTTCATCTGTATACCAGCAATACTGAAATGTTAGCCATTTCATAATCTACCTTAAAGCCTTACACATATGCAAATGCATCTATCTATGGATAAGACACTGACATCCCATACATTAAAAATTATGATGACTATAACCCTTCTTTAGTCAGGCAGTATGTAGTGAATTTGATTGGAGAATAGAGCAACCTAAAAGTCTCTGCAAAAGTTCTTCCCAACTAAATTAATATGTGATAGTTTCTTAGATCCTAGTGAGAAGAGCATTAAGTATTGCTCTTGCCCGTGTTCTCACCACCTGATTATTTTCAATTGCTAGACCAATGTACTTACAGTAGGATAACATCTGCATTTTAAACCTCCATGCCCCCTAACCATTACTGGATAATGGTACAAAGAAGTGCTCTGATCAAGTCTAATAAAGTGCATTGGTTATGACCTCATTTTTTAGTAATTCCATTATGTCCTTACTTCTTGAACACTAGCATTTTAAACGTTTTTGCTTCCAAACCCTGGAGTTTCAAATCATACACAATTTGCTGCAAAATATAATCTTTGAAAATACGCTATAACTTTATCCATCTCACAAAATAAACCAAGCCAAAGTGTTTTCAAGTTCTTAAAATGACTCATTTCCATTTTTCACATTTTAATTGTAATTCAGATGGAATTCATATAACTTAGGGCAATGGTCAGCAAACTACGGCTCGCGAGCCACATGCGGCTCTTTGGCCCCTTGAGTGTGGCTCTTCCACAAAATACCACATGTGGGCGTGCATGTACAGTGTGATTGAAATTTCGTGGCCCGTGCGCAGAAGTCGGTTTTCAGCCTTGGCGAGTCTATTTTGAAGAAGTACTGTTGATATTTGGCTCTGTTGACTAATGAGTTTGCCGACCACTGACTTAGGGAAACATTCATATAACTTAAAATTAACAATTTTAAAGTGAACAATTCAGTGTCATTTAATATGATTATAATGTATGTGCACATATCTAGTTTCAAGATATTTTCATCACTAAAAAATAAAACCCTATATCAATTAGGAAATCACATCTTAATTTTCCCTATCCTAAACTCCTAGCAACCACTAATCAGTCAGCTTTCTTTATATATGGATTTAACTGTTTAGGATATCCTATCTAATAAAATAGAAACCTTGGTAATTAGCCATACCTCCGCTACCCTTCCCATTGGCTAATCAGGGGGATATGCAAATTAACTGCCAGCCAAGATGGCGGCTGGCAGCCAGGCAGGTGAAGTGAACATGAGGCTTGCTTGCTTCAGTGACGGAGGGAGCCAATGTTCCCCACCTGCCATTGCCGGCCTCTGAGCTTGCAGTTTGAAACATTGTTAAAAATATAGAAGCTAAACAAACTCCAGAAACCTGCTTTTAGCCAGCCGGGATCTCAGAGCTGGAGTTGAAACAGTGTTTCGATTATAGAACCCAAACAAACCAGATACCTGCTTTCATCAGCTGAGGCCTCATAGCTGGAGCCAAGCCTCAGAGCTAAAGCTGGCCCAGAATAAAAAAAGAAAAGAAAAAAAGGAGTGGTTGGGAGCTTCAGTCACCCGCCAGCCTGAAAACAGCCCTCAGCACCTCACCCAGACTGGCCAGGCACCCCAGTGGGGACTCCCACCCTAAAGGGGGTGTGACCAGCTGCAAACAGCCATCAGCCCCTCACCCAGGCTGGCCAGGCACCCAAGCAGGAAACCCACCCGGATCCGGGACACCCTCCAGGGCAAACCAGCCGGCCCCCACCCGTGCACCAGGCCTCTATCCTATATAGTAAAAGCGTAATATGCCTCCCACCACCGGGATCAGCGGAGCCGCGAGGCCTCCCCGCACCGGGATCAGCGTGACAGGGGGCAGTGCCCAAACCCCCTGATTGCCCTGCGGCTCTGTATGTGACAGGGAGCGGGGCCACAACCTCCCTATCCGCCCTGCACTGTTTGTGATAGGGGAAGGCGCCCCAACCCCCTGATCAGCCCTGTTCTGTGCCTGATAGGGGGGAGCTCCCCAAACCCCTAATTGCCCTGAGTCTCTGTGTGTGACAGGGTGCGGTGCCACAACCCCCTCTCCCCCCACGGGCCCTGCTCTGTGTGTGACGGGGTAGAGCCATAACCTCCCCATCGGCCCTGCCCTGAGTGTGACAATGGCGGCGCCCCAACCCCCCCCCCACATGGGCCCTGCTCTGTGTGTGACGGGGTAGAGCCATAACCTCCCCATTGGCCCTGCCCTGTGTGTGACAGGGTGTGGCGCCCCAACCCCCTGATCTGCCCTGCTCTGTGTGTGACAGGGGGCGGTGCCCCAACTCCCCTATTGGCCCTACTCTGTGAGTGACAGGGGGGAGCTCCTCAACCCCCTGATCGGCCCTGCTCTGTGTGTGACAGGGGGGAGCTCCCCAACCCCCTGATGGGCCCTGCTCTGTGCGTGACAGGGGAGAGCTCCCCAACCCCCTGATCGACCCTGCTCTGTGCGTGACAGGGTATGGAGCCCCAACCCCCTGATTGGCCCTGCTCTGTGCATGACAGGGGGTGGCGCCACAACCTCCCCATTGACCCTGCCTTGAGTGTTACGGGGCACTGCCCCAACCCCGCAATCAGCCCTACCCTGAGCGTGACTGAGGGTGGCATCACAACCTCCCAATCCACCCTGCTCTGTGCATGACAGGGGGCGGCGCCCCAACTCCCCAATCGACCCTGCTCTGAGCCCGACCAGGGGCTGCACCTAGGGATTGGGCCTGCCCTCTGCCACCCAGGAGCAGGCCTAAGCCAGCAGGTCGTTATCTCCCGAGGGATCCCAGACTGCGAGAGGGCACAGGCCAGGCTGAGGGCCCCCCCCTCCCCTCTGAGTGCACAAATTTTTGTCCACAGGGCTGCTAGTCCTATATAATAAAAGCCTAATATGCAAATTGACTGAATGGTGAAATGACCGGTCGCTATGATGTGCACTGACCACCAGGGGGCAGACACTCAATGCAGGAGCTGCCCCAGCCCACAGGGCCCAAGCCAGCCAAGGTGGGTGCCAGCGGAAGTGCCCCCTGGTCGGCCTGCCGGTCACCCTGCAGAGGGTGGCGACCAGCAGCGACGGTGGGAGGCAGGGCCAGTGAGCGGGTAGTGCCAGGCTGGCCAAGGCAGGTGCCAGTGGAGGCCCCCCGATTGCATTGCTGGTCACCCCACAGATCGGCCCTGATCACCGGCCAGGCCTAGCGACCCTACCTGTGCACAAATTTCGTGCACCAGGCCTCTAGTTTCATATAAATGGAATCATACCATATGTGACCATTTATGTCTGCTTTCTTTAACTGAGCCTAATTATTTTTAGTTTTATCCATGTTACACAATGTATCAGTACATTATTATTTTAGATTGCTGAATAACACTTCATTGTATGTATATATAAAACAACTCCTATATCTGTTCATCTGTAGTTGAACATATAGGACATCTTTTGGCTAATTTTGAATAGCTATGCTATAAATATTTCAATACAAGTATTAGTTTGAATACTTATTTCAATTCTTTGGGTAATATACCTAAAGGTAGAATATCTCATTCATATGCTAATTCTGTGTTTCATATTTTCAAGAACCACAAAACTGTTTTCCACAGTGTCTGCACCATTTACATTCCTATAAGCAATATACAGGGTTCTAGTTTCTAAACATCCTAATAAACACTTGTTATTCTCCTTTTTTCTTTTATTGTAACCACTAGAGGCCCAGTACACAAAAATTTGTGCACTCAGGGGGGTCCCTCAGCCTGGCCTGTGCCCTCTCGTAGTCTGGGACCACTCAGGGGATGACCACCTGCTGGCTCGCTGGCTTAGGCTCGCTCCCCAGGGGGTTGGGCCTAAGTTGGCAGTCAGACATCCCTCTGGCAGCCCGGGAGCCCTCGGGGGATGTCCACTTGCCAGTGGGGAGCAGGCCTAAGCCGCTGTTGGACATCCTTAGCGCTGCTGAGGAGGCGGGAGAGTCTCCCACCACCGCCACTGTACTGGCAGCCATCAGCCTGGCTTGTGGCTGAGCAGGGCTCCCCCTGTGGGAGCACACTGACCACCAGGTGGCAGCTCCTGCATTGAGCGTCTGGGCCCTGGTGGTCAGTGTGTGTCATAGTGACCAGTCATTCCCAGTCATTCGGCTGTTAGGGTCAATTTGCATATTACCCTTTTACTATATAGGATAGAGGCCTGGTGCACGGGTGGGGGCCGGCTGGTTTGCCCTGAAGGGTGTCCTGGATCAGGGTGGGGGTCCCACTTGGGTGCCTGGCCAGCCTGGGTGAGGGGCTGATGGCTGTTTGCAGGTTGGTCACACCCCCTTCAGGGTGGAGGTCCCCACTGGTGTGCCTGGCCAGCCTGGGTGAGGGGCTAATGGCTATTTGCAGGCTGGTCATGCCACCCCCCCAGTGGGGACCCTCACTCTATGGAGGTTTGGCCAGCCTGGGTGAGGGGCTGATGGCTGTTTTCAGCTGGCCACACCCCCTTTAGGGTTGGGGGTCCCCACTGGGGTGACTGGCAAGTCTAGGTGAGGGGCTGAGGGCCATTTTTGGGCTGGCCAAGCCCCCCTGCGACAGAAGCTCCCAGCCTCTCCTTTTTTTCTTTTCCTTTTTTTATTCTGAGATTTATTTACCTTCTATAATTGAAACTTTGTAGCCTTGAGAGGAGCATAGAGCCAGCCAGGGCGGGTGGGAGGATAGCTTGTCTTCCTCCATCACCAGGCACAACCCACACCTCCTGCTCGCTCCAGCTCAGTGGCCATAGCTGGCTGAAAGCTGGTATCTGGGGTTTATTTATCTTCTATAATTGAAACTTTGTTGCTTTGAGTGGAGCTCAGAGCTGCCACGGCAGGCGGGGAGCTTGGTTCCTCCATCATTGGGGCAACCAAGCCTCCTGCTTGCTCCAGCTCCATGGCTGCCAGCCGCTGTCTTGGTTGGGTTAATTTGCATATAGTCGCTCTGATTGGCTGGTGGGCGTGGCTTAAGGCACAGCGAAGGTATGGTCAGTTTGCATGTTTGTCTTTTATTAGTGTAGATTTTTATGGTTATAAATTTGTATCTTGGGTTTTGATTTACATTACCCTGATGACTAATGATGCTGAGACCTTTACATATACTTGTAAATATTCTTTGGATAAATGTCTATTTAGTCCTGTGTGCATTTTTAATTGGGTTGTCTTTTTATGTATTCTGAACACTAGATCCTTATCAGAAGTATGGTTTATTAATATTTTCTTCCATTCTATGGACTGTTTTTTTTTCATTCTTTTGATGTGTCCTTTCAAAATGTTTTAATTTTTCTTAACTCCAATTAGTTTTCCTTTTGTTGCTTGTGAAATTGGGGTATCTTATTTAAAGAGTCATTATCAAATCCAGCATTTACCCATATGTTTCCTTCTAACAGTTTTGTGGTTCAATATTTTATATTTAATTCCTGGATCAATTTTGAGTTAATTTTTATATAGTGTGAGGTAGGGATCCAATTTCATTCTTTTGCATGTGAATATTTGGTTGTTCCAGCACCACTCTTAGAAAAACATAGCTTTCCCCATTGGACCCTTGATAAAAATCAGTTGGCCATAGATGTATGGGTTTATTTTCCAACCCACAATTTTATTCTATTTATATATATATATTTATATATTTATATATTTATATATTTATATTTAAGCCAGCACAATATTGTTCTGATTACTGTAGTTTTATAATAAGTTTTGAAATCTGAAAGTATGAGTCCTCCAACCTTTCTCTCCTTTTTTAAGATTGTTTTGACTATTAGAGGGCCCTTATAGTTCCATATGAACTTGAGGATTTGCTTTTTATTTCTGCAAAAATGGCCACTGGAATTTTCATGAATATTATAATGAGTCTGTTGATTACTTTAAATATTATTGCCATATGAAAAATACTATATTTCAATTCATGAACTTTTTTAAGATATATTTTTATTAATTTTAGAGAAGGGAAGGGAAGGGAAAGGGAGATAGAAACATCAATGATGAAAGAGAATCCTGCAGGCCCCCTACTGAGGATGGAGCCCACAACCCGGGCATGTGCCCTGAGTGGGAATCGAACCTGGGACCCTTCAGTCCACAGGCCGATGCTCTATTCACTGAGCCAAACAAACTAGGGCATGAATTTTCTATTTATATGTCTTTGAATTCTTTAACCAAGGTTTTTTAGTGAGTCCTTTATTTCTTTGGTTAACTTTATTCCTATTTTACTCTGTCAGATGCAATGAAATTGTTAATATTCTTTTTTTGATTGTTCATTGATGGTATATAAAAACACAATTGATTTTTGCATGTTAATCTTGTATCCTGTATCTTTGCTGAATTTGTTTATTAGCTCTAGTAGTATGTGTGGTGGTGATTCTTTGGGCTTTTTCTATGTGTGGAAATATATGTATCATGTCATCTTTAAATACTGATAGTTTTACTTCTTCCTTTCCAATTTGGATGCCCTTTATTTCTTTTTCTTACCTCATTGCTAAAACTAGTGTAGCAGTAAATACCAGAAATGAAAGGAGACATCCTTAGCTTGTTCCTGATTTTAAAGAAAAACTTTTCAGTCTTTCACCATTTGGTATGATACTAGATTTGGGTTTTTCACATATGCCCTTGTCATTTTGAGAAAGTCCTCTTCTATTTCTAGTTTCCTGAGTGTCTTTAATCATTAAACCCTTTGTCAAACCCATTGATGTTGCTATCTCCCATACTTATATGGTTTATTCCATTTGTTCAATTAATGCAATATATTGCATTGATGGGTTTTCATATGTTGAACCTGCATTCCTTGGATAATTCCCCCTTGATCATCATGTATAATCATTTTGCTATGCTATGGGATTCAGTTTGCTAGCATTTGGTTGAAGATTTTTTTTTTCATCTATATTGATAAGGGATATTGGTCTCTAGTTTCTTTCTTCATGATACCTTTGCCTGGCTTTGGTGTCAGAGTAATGCTGAGCTCACAGAATGAGAGAGAAAATGTTTCCTCCTCTTACACTTTTTGGAAGACTTGGAGAAGAATTGTTGTTAATCTTGTTTAAATGTTTGGTAGAGTTCACCAGTGAAGCCATCTGCTCAACTTTTCTTTGTAGGGAGGTTTTGATCACTGATTCATGTGTGTTACATGTATAGGTCTGTTCAAATGGAGTGTTTCATTTCTTAATGCATGTTTTGGTAATTACATTTTGGCTTTGTTTGTAGCGTTCATACTGGTATGGCCCTCCAAGAATTAGAAGGAAAGAGGAAGACATGAAAGGCTATGGAAGAACTCAAAGCAAATATTTTGAGGCTGAACCAACTGGTTTGGTGGCAAGTATCCAGATCAAACATTTGCACAAGGTATTATTTCAAAGGCAAATCCTTTATTATCCTTGCCCAGAGGTCCTGGGCAGGTCAGTTGAAGGGGACCATGGGCAGGCCAGATGGCAGCATCCGTAAATGAGCTAACTAGTAGGCTCTATGTGTGGGCCAGGTACTTGCATCCATAGGCATGTAGTCCTGGTGCCAGACTCCGCATATGGTTGGGCAAGGTGCTAAGGTCCATGGGCAGCCCTGGTGCCAGGGTCCATAGGAGAGACTGGTTACTCTGCTTCTCCTTTAGTTTATGTTTGCCTGTTATATTTTGCCCATTCTTTTGCTATTTACCTATTTGTGTCTATAATTGAAGGACACTTTTATATACATATATAAACATTTGGTTAGTGCATGCTCTTTATTCAATGTGATTCTTGCTGCTTTTTAATTGATGAGTTCAGGCCATTTACATTTTTAATTTTTCAGTTACAGGTTACATTTCATACTATTTTGTATTTCAGGCCATTTACAGTTAATGTGATTATTTATATTTTTGGTATGGTTTCCATTTAGCATTTATTTGATTTCTAATTCTACCATATACTCTTTGTTTTCTTCCTCTTTCTTGCCTTCTCTTGAATTACTGATTATATTCCTGAGATTCCATTATATCTCCCTTTCTATATAATTTTGTTTTGGTATTCAACTGGTTTATCTTTGATACATTATACAACTCTGACTTATCACAGTCTTCCTTCAAATGGAACCATTTCACATATAGTATAAGAACCTTACGTCAGTTATACTTTTATTTTTATACTCAGACCCTTCATGCTGTTATTGTCATACATTTTACTTAAACATATATTATAAAACCTGCAATATTTTGTTACCAGTGTTCTTGATTTTCCATTTATATTTTAAGGAAGTTGAGGACAATGTGGTATATAATTACCAGTGTGCTTAATAATTACAGTGTTCTCCATTTCTTTGTTTATATCTAGATTTCATCTGGTATAATTTTCCTTCTGCCTCACAGAGTATCTTTGACATTTTTTCTTTTTAATTCGGGTATGCTAAGTGATTAATTCCTTCATATTTTCTATGTCTAAAAGAGCCTTTATTTTATCTTTGCTTTTGAAAGATATTGTCACTCATATAGGATATTAGGTTAAAGATGTTGTTCCACTGTCTATTCACAGGCATTGTTTCCAGTTTTTCCTGGAAGATTTTAAGGTGTTTATTTAGCAGTGGTTTTATGCAATTTCATAATGATGTTTCTTGGTAGTAGTTTTATTCTTGTCCTTTGGGTCTGTTGAGCTTTGAATGTGTAGGTTTATTGTTGTCATAAAATTTGAAAAACTTTTGGCCACTAGTTATCCAGTTATTTTAATGTCCCATACAGTGTCTGTTGGAGTTGCAGAGTTGTGTGGTCATAAGCACACAGGCAATGAGAGAGGGCAGGGTCTGAACCATGGGTGCACTGTGAATAAGGTCTGAATTGCATGCTTGAGTGGCAGGAGCAAAAAGTGGGTCAGCAGACGCCCACCCTACAGAGCTGCTCCCCACTGGTGGGCCTGGCGGTTGTCTTTCAGACAAAGAAAGTAAATCACAGAGCCCTGCCACTAATTAGACTCCCAAAACTCACTTCCCATTGCCCTTAGAGTTGGCTCCAGGAGTGTATTATCTGTAGGCCCAGAGCTGTTGCAGTAGAAAGTTTCCCTCTGTGACTGAACTCCAGGCGGGGTGCTTGGGCTGGATCCTTGGAGGGCAGGGGTCACATTACAATGAGGGAAAAACAAACCTCACCCCAAGCAGCAAAGGCTGTATAGTACTACGGAAGCCACGGAGGCTCAAAACTGTGAGGCCACAAAGGTAAAAATCTTGTGAATCAATGCCATCTACTGGAACAGAGTAGAAAGACCACCTCAGAGATAAATGGGAAAACAAAAAACAGTGAAAATCATAAATAACCATGGTAAAGATGATGACCAGAAAGGAAATGAAAAATCCCCAGAAAATAGGCTGGAGCACATGGAATTATGTGATATGAATGACAGAAATTTCAAGATTGCAGTTCTGAAAATACTCAATGAGATGCGAGAAAATGCTGACAGGCATTTCAGTGCATTGAGAAAACAAATTAATGAACAAAAAGTATTTTTGCAAGAAAATTGAAATTTTAAAAAAGAATCGATCAGAAATCGTGGAAATTAAGCATTTAAAGAACTTAAGAGTGAGTTGTTGAGCATAGAAAACAGAACCAACCAATTAGAGGGGAAAAATTAGTGATATTGAAGATAGGAGTCCAGAAAGGATGCAGAGGGAAGAAGAGAGAAACCTGAGAATAACGAAATGTGAAAGAGTTCTATGAGATCGCTCCGATTCCATCAAAAAAAGCAACGTCAGAATCACTGGCATAGTGGAGGAAGGAGAGTGGGAGTATGGAATGGAGAGTCTATTTAAACAACTAGTATGTGAGAACTTCCAAAATCAATGGAAAGAACTAAATCCTCGAATCCAAGAAGCAAACAGAGTACCTAGTTACCTCAATCCAAAGAGGCCCTCTCCAAGGAACTTGGTAATGAAGATGTCAAAAATAAATGACAAAGAAAAAGTCCTCAAAGCATCCACGAAAAAGAAGGAAGTGACCTACAAAGGAAAACCCGTCAGAATGTCACCCAACTTCTCAGCAGAAACTCTACAAGCCAGAGAGAGTGGAACCAAATATTCAAACGTCTAAAAATGAGAAATTACCAGCCATGCATGTATCCAGCAAACTTATCCTTTAAATATGAAGGAGAAATAAGAATATTCCCAGACGTATAGAAGTTGAGGCATTTCATTACTAGAAAACCTCCAATGCAGGGAATACTCAAGGGAGTTATTCTACCTGAAACAAAGGATATAAAGTCACACCACTATGAGTAGGGTCACCAAAAAAGTTGCGGCATAAATAGGGATAATTTGTGACAACAAAAACATACAAGGGGAAGGGGGAAAGGTATGAACTGGCAAAGGAAGATGAAGATCAGGTGCACTCAAAACGGGAAAAAACTATGGCATACATGCAACTTCACTCTTTATAAACCTAATGGCAACCACACACAAAGGTCCCCAAAATGGGACATATTGCTTAAAAAAGAGGAAAGATATATGGAATCCACCAAACAGACAGAAGCATAATGGAAAGGAACCAATGGTGGCACAGAGTTACCAGAAAACAAAAGATAAAATGGCTATAGGAAATCCTCATGCATCAATAATTACCCTAAATGTAAATGGCCTAAATTCACCTGTAAAGAGGCACAGAGTAGCAGAGTGGATGAAAAAACAAAACCGAACCATATGCTGCCTACAAGAGACATACCTAAACAGCAAAGACGAAGGTAGATTCAAAGTAAAGGGGTGGAAAATGAATCTCCAAACAAAAAAAAAATCCACACAAGAAAAGCAGGTGTAGCCATACTTATATCTGACAAAACAGATTTCAAGAAAATAAGACTTCAAGAAAATAAGACACAAAGATGAACACTTTATAATGATAAAGGGAACACTACATCAAGAAAACTTAACAGTTCTTAGTATATATGCACCCAATCAGGGAGCACTGAAATATATTAAACAGCTACTTACAGAACTAAAGGGAGAAACAGGTCAAAATAAATTATAGTTGGAGACCGTAATTCTCCATTGGCAGCTCTAGACAGATCAATCAAACAAAAAAATCAATAAAGAAATATTGGCCTTAAATGAAACACTAGACCAAATGGATATAATTGACATTTACAGAACATTTCATCCCAGAATATCAGACTATACATTCTTCTCCAGCGTATATGGAACATTCTTAAGGATAGACCATATATTGGGTTACAGAACAAGTATCAACAAATTTTAAAAGATCGAAATTATACCAATTATATTTTCTTTTTTAAAAAAATATATTTTATTGATTTTTTACAGAGAGGAAGGGAGAGGGATAGAAAGTTAGAAATATCGATGAGAGAGAAACATCTATCAGCTGCCTCCTGCACACCTCCCACTGGGGATGTGCCCACAACCAAGGTGCATGCCCCTGACTGGAACCAAATACGGGACCCCTCAGTCCGAAGGCTGACGCTCTATCCACTGAGCCAAACCGGTCAGGACATACCAATTATATTTTCTGACCTTGAAATTAAAAACCACCTGCAAAAAGGAAGTAAAGAAACCTGCAAATATGTGGGGATTAAACAACATACTACTAAAAAATGACTGTGTCAAAGAAGAAATTAAAGGTGAGATCAAAAGATATATGGAGACAAATGAGAATGATAACACCCTACCAAAAACTCTGGGATGCAGTGAAAGCAGTAATAAGAGCTTATATCATTACAGGCCTATCTCAAGAAACAAGAGAAAACCCAAGTAAATAAACTAATGACACATCTTAAAATACTAACAAAAGAAGAACTAAAGCAACCCAAAGTTAGCAGAAGAAAGGAAATAATAAAAATTAGAACAGAATTAAATGAAATAGAAAACAAAAAGATATACAAAAAAATAAATAAAAAGCTGGTTCTTTTGAAAAGACCAATAAAATTGACAAACCTCTGGCTAGACTCCCTAAGGAAAAAAGGGAAAAGACCCATATAAACAAAATCAGAAATGAGAGAGAAGTTACCACAGACATCACAGATATACAAAGGACCATACTAGAATATTATGAAAGACTTCATGCCACCAAATTTAATAACCTAGAGCAGGGGTGGGCAACCTTTTTGTGAGTGTGTGCCAAAACCAGCAAAATCTCTGACTCAAAATTCTTCTGCGTGCCAACCCTAATTTTTTGAGAACATGTTACGCCTACTTGATATCTCTTAAGGTGTATGTATGTGAAGAACCTTGAAGAAATAACAAAATTCATTCAAGCGACAAAAACACAGTATATGATGATGAAAAATACTTTTATTTTTTAATGTATACATGTACACTGATAGTCCGACAGAAAACTTTATGACTCCATTTGATATTATCGGTGGGACTTTTGCTGCTGCATCACT